GTCCGCAAAATATGAATAATGACAACTATAAACTGTTACGCGCTTGTGATATAAGGTTTGATACACCGATCTTTCTTATGTACTCCAAATATACGTTTGTCGTGGCAAATGTACCAAGAAGTAACATTAGTCAAGTCATTTTAGCAAAAAAGGGGGGCCAACCTGTCACAAATTGCAACAGGAATAATTTCTTCACAGTGCTTTTCGGAAAGGTATCTAGATTGACATACTGAAAGTCTAGGAAAATCTAGGCTTCCGAAATATATCTAATTTGCATACATTCAAAATGGCCATTTTGCACTTTTTTACAACATGGAAATATAACTATTTGGATATATCTTTAATTCTAGATGAGGTATTTTAAAAATTCATGATGCAATGGTACTGCTTTGAGAGTATGAGAGTGCCAAATGTATTGAATGGTAGATGAAAATTAGCATAAATCCAATATGGCAATGGTACTGCTTTGAGAGTATGAGAGTGCCAAATGTGTTGATTGGTAGATGAAAATTAGCATAAATCCAATATGGCCGGATAATATAATTATTTAATGTAACTTTTCTTCCGGTTTCTCTTTAAGATGCCAGAATACAATTTAAAACGATTTAAATTCTAAATCGTACCATACAGAAAAAATGTAAATAAATGGTTTCCTGGGTAGACGGGAGCTTCATCTGCATAAATCCAACATGGCCGTCTAATTTAAAAGACAAACTAGAGGAAAGAAAAACCTTGGTTGGATCTACAAATCTGCTATACTATATACATAATATACCATTTAAGGATGCTGTACACGTTTTTGGTATTGATTTTCTAAACTGATATTTTCATATAAAATATTTACTGAACCACACAAAGCTATATATTGATGGAAAGCTTATTTCACACTGGATATGAAATCGACATTGGTATATCGTATTTTGCCCGGTTAGTACGATTGCTTGTTGTTCATATTGACGGATCACGTGACCTGTGTCGTTCACATCTACTGCATAATCACAGCCTGCCTTCCTTGAGCTCGTAGATTCAGCGTTAATCTGAGATCAACACACTCTTTGTACGGTAAGCAGCGGATTACACTCACTCCGTAACACTATTGTCGTTCTTGTTTAACGATAACAGATTATGTTCATCCCGGCTTGTCATCTTGTGTAAGATTGAACTGCCCCTGACCTTTACGCTGTTCATCAAACTCAAGCATGTCGTGGCTATCACTGTAAGTCATATGTTTATACATTTCGGTGAATATGTACACCCTACCTCCTATAATTCCAAATAAACAGGCGATGCACGTCACGGTGCGTCGTGCTGGACACCGGCCGACATAGCGACGTATACACGGCTTGTTCGTTACATCGTTTGGGGATATACAATTTACGAACGCCATAAAGTTCTATGATACAATCTTCGTTGTGCTGATGTCCCCTGATGTGAACAATTTGTATGGCTATGCTAAAAGCAAATGTGTTATGACACAGGGAGCCCGGAAACTATAATCGACTGGTATCTTGTGTATAAAACTAGACAAGCTGCAGCGATCCCACATTTTATGAACTGGAAAAAAAATTACGAAATAAAAGTCAAATTTAATTTATAAAAAAAGTAGCTTCGCGATAAGTGGCTTTCGCTGGGAGTGTCTTTCGAAGTGATTAGCTTTCGCAGTGAGTATGGCTTTGTTGCAGTAACTGGTACTTTCATCAGAGTTGAGAATTGAGAGTGTTATGTCATTAATAAAAATATCCATGGAATATTAATTAAAGAATTTATTATATAACCCTGACAATAGAAAATTATTATCTTTCCTCATTATAATGATAACATGTGACTTCATGTGGAAATCCTAATAAATGAGATTTAAACTCACAACTGGTGATTTAGCAATATTAGGGATTGTCGACTTGCCCATAGGGGCAAGGTTTTTTAAATTTTTTAAAATTTTCATGTATACCATAGGGTCCATAGTATATTTTGCTTACTGATTTGACTACACTGTGTACTTAGCAGTTTCCAGTCCAGTATACTGTGTTCTCCAGCATAAATAATTGAATTATTCAGAGTTCCATGTTGACTATGCCCCGGTTCGTTTACTTACTTATCAGTGTCTGACTGGTATATACAACATGCGACCTAGAAAACGTCAGAGAGCCCAGAACCAAAACAATCTGTCGCCGTCCACAACAGCAATATGATTTTACACACAGAAATTGCGAATCGCAATTGCATAGAAATGAACACTAAATACTTACCATGAAAATGTTGGAAACAAGAGCGTTAGGCAAAAGTGTTGCTGCCACGGCTTGTACGCGCTACGCGTACGTATTCTAAACCTCGTCTGAGCAAGATGCAACACCAATACAATACGAGTTCAGAGTCACCACAGCAATGCCCTTGGTACTGTTTTTTTTTCATTTCTGGCTACAGTGTTACTACTAATAACTTATTTCAGACAAGAAAGAAAATATTCATGTGTTATTTCTGGCATACTAACCTGAGCACTTTTGCCTACCGCTCTTGCTTCGGGTTACGTTCGCAAACAGGACATCCCGAAGGAGCGCTTTCATTACCAGTGTCACTACAAATCGCCACACTCCCAGGGACGGCCGCGCGTCAACGCGGACGCGCTTCATGATGAGAATAACGTGATTAGCAACCACTTTTAGTGAATAGCGCTCTCAACGTTGGAAATAGTATAGTAATAGAGGTATAGTTCATTCATAGTTCATTCGTTATTTACTGAATCTGTTTTGGTTCGTTTGTGGATCGTTTGAGGTTGTTTGGCTCTTTTGTCAATTTTGTCTGAAAGCCATTTTAAAAATGAAAAAAAATAGGTATATTAGTTTGGTTTAAAGTATAGTATAGTGTTACCGCGTGACAAACTTAATAATAATATCTTAACATGGATACGGTATCAATAAAAATAAACACTATAACATATTCATTCGGTTCTTGACATGTATGATGACTATGAACTTGACCGATATAGATAACCTTGAAAGGAGTTCCTACTAGCCAGGAATTATTATTGATAATAATCCTCACAACAAATCTTTATATCAAAGTTTTCAACAAGTTACTTGAGTCTGTTCACGGCTCACACTGACGAATGATTTAGCTGATCTATTCAGTAAACGCATAATGTTATGAGTTTGACCAGATCATAAAAACACCTTCTTGACATATGTCAATTTGTAGAACAAGATTGCAGCTATTACCCATATACACATTGTGAGTTCAGCTTGAGTCAGTCTGCATATCTAGTTTTTTGAAAGCATCTATTGTTTCAATTTAATTATTTATTCCATATTTATTGAATGATTCCATTTTCATTTTAAGAATGGTGTATCGTATTTTTAGCTCCACTGTCGACTTTGTCGAGCGGAGCTTATCATATGAGTGATTGTCCGTCGGCATCCGTGTCAACTTTTTCGACTTATTCTTGAAAACTACAAGCCTGAATGGTTTGATACTTGGTGTATATGTACATTGGGTAGACCTCTCTTAGATCTGTTCATTTCATGGTGATATCTTCAATTCTCCAATTTTGATGAATATTTTTGAAATTTTTGGTAAAAAAAGATATTTATAATTTCTTGTTAAAAACCACAAGTCTGATTGCTTTGATATTACATATATAGGTACTACATGTGGACCTCACTCAGATTCTTTTCAGTTCGTGATGATATCTTCGATTATCTAATTTTGTCATTTTTGGTGAAAAGTGATATTTTCGAATTCTTGTTGAAAACACCAAGTCCGATTGCTTTGATACTATAAATATTGTTCATTTTCTAATGATATCTCCAGTTGCTTAATTGAAATGTGCATTGATAATAGCGGAGCTATCTCAGCCGACACGCTGCTTGTTACGGTATTGCACTTGGTATTTGCATCCTACCATATTAGGAATGAGAATTCCAAATATGGAACGATTACGCGCGTAAGCGCCCTCTAATAATAAAAACAACCCCCAGAGTTTGCCCTGACCCCAGACAAGTTCGCTAAATCTGTTCTAAACTTTTTGGATTTCGGCATTCCCATGATGTATCCTTGGAAGGAAAAGATGTATAATAATAAGGTTATTACGAGGATATCCCAAAGTATGCAGTCAGACTACGCCGTCGCTGCCAGATAAAACACTAGTTTTTGATTGCGTAATGCGGCATGTTAATATACCGTCCTACTTCAATTACATATACATGAGCAGATATTGTAACTTTAGTAATTGAAAATATGTGTTTGGATAATTAGACCTCTGGTTAAACGTTGTTTGGTTTCGAAGTGATTTTTTGCATTTGCGACTTAGCAACTATTTGTTTCTCCATGTGGCAACAATGGTCTGTCGTTCTACTGAGCTGTCATTAAAATTACAACCAACGCCCCTCACATATTATCCTAATGCCTCTGTAATGTCACAATGTAATTACGAAATATCATTTTATTGCTCAGATTGATACCACTCCCCGCTGTTTTGCATGGTCACGCCAGTCAATATGATGGAGCCGTGTATCTCATTGCCATTGGAGAAATCACTCCTAGATGACGTAGTCGCTCAGAGTAAAGACTTTGCTAATGTACATGGAATAGTAATGAGAAGACGAGAGACACCTCTCTCATCAGATGTTGTATGTTTCACGCCACATACCCTAGTGCCATCTCCTGTGCCAAAGAAATTATTTTATCAATCCGTGGATGTACAAAATGACTTCCATTTATTGATGCATGGTATCAGTCGTGACTACCAATTTCTCAAGTCAGTGCTATCCAGGTAAATACACCATTCATATAAGTTCCGCCCTCTACGACGAAGTGTTCCCATGGCGTAAATTGCATGATTCGTAATCGCCCAACAATGCATGATAATGATTTCACTTCTACACAAATAAGTGTCATAGTTTTCACCCACCTACGTCATGACACCACAGAAGCGCTTCGTATACATTCACGTGTAATAATCTGTGCTCTCAACTTTTTTATCACGTGTGTTGTTATACTTGATATGTGACGATTTATTAAAACGGCAATGTACTGAAGAGGGAAAGAAATAATAGATCATCGTCTTACTGATACCAACTGTACACCCCCTCAGCAATTATACTTATACGACTATTCCTGTAAATCAATCGACGTCTCTCGATTTTATAAGTGTAGACTGTAACCGCCACAGCTGTATTCATATAAATGTAAACATTCGTATTCACATGTTACCTTTGATACATTTCGGACACTTCCATCATGAATACCTGACATAAAATAAATGTCGGTTTTAATGATACACTGGTAAATGCACGTTGAGTGGCAATTCTACCATTTATGAAGTATATATATATATATATATATATATATATATATTGAGGGGTTTCATGATTTTCGAAAAAAAAAACCTCCTGAAAAGCTTCCGTAATCATGGTACATCGGAATTATATTTCGTATGAAACGAGTAATACTGTGAACATAAACAGAGCGTTAAAAACTGAAAATATTGTCACAATTGTAAAGGAGTAAGGAGTCGGGTGTGTATTGTTCGCTGTGTGGTCGGGTTATCGGGAGTGGGATTCTTCGAGTCGGGGAAACTCACTTAGCAGCGGAGGTACAGTGATCGTTGATGTACACCCATTCAAATAGAATCATGTACAGAGACAGGAAACACACCAATATTTGAAGGTTGCTTGAAGGTTTTTAGTATATAATCTCACCAAGCTAGTTTTTCCCTACTAAAATCACTACGGGAAATCACAAAACTGTGGGTGTAGGCTCTTGGCAGTCAGAGAGGTGTCTCTTCCTGGCAGCCAGATAGGTGTCTCCCCTTTTGCTTAGTAACCAGTTGTCGCCTTATATCAGCAGACAGACATTTCTTCACAAAAAAGAGCCGTTGACACTTTCCCAGTTTTTCCATAGAGTGCGAATATAGGTCACAGCTTGGGTAATAAAGTCACAGCTTGCCCAGTAATAAAATTTCAAGAATGTATGAAACATCTCCAAACAAGTGTAATTCTAATTTAGTAAGTCAAATTGAAATAAGTATAGATTTTATCATTTGTGTGTTAACAGGAACCCACAAATGATTTGGAATGTATTTTAGCTTTGTGACAATATGCTATGTGTCAACATTGAATGTGAAATACAACGAATTACGTTCCTTTTCTAGACATATACATGAAGATGTTTTGTTTTCATTTGACTGTATAAAAACACAATGGTTGCGGCAATGCTATACACACAATATTAACTTGTTTGTTTGTTTGTTTATTTACAGTTCAATGCAACATGATGAGTTCCAGAAGAAACTGTTTGACATTTACGAAGAGGTTTATATCAATAATATACCATGTCAGGTATGCCGCATAGGAAATTATTCTGATAAATTCATTCTAATCATAAATTACGTTAATTCACTGCATTCAATGATGTGTGACACATGCAAGTGATCTTTACAGCAATGTACTCTACTTTTCACATACAGTTGGTTTCTTATGTTCTTTCAATGCAGCCCATTATGTTAGGAATGCTACGATGTGACTATATGTTTGATTGCTCTGGTGGAAGGGACATATCAACAGACAAAATACAACTGAAACAAGTTGAAGTAAATACCATTGCCAGTGGTTTGGCAGGACTTGGAACCCAGTGTACTCGTCTTCATAGGTGTGTGTCACTCAGTGCTAAGTATTCTAGCCAATGTTACATGGCAATTATGAAGGCGAATTATTAATTATTAATTAATTATGAACAATAGCAAACCCATTGGCTACCACAATTCGTGCCCACTGAGGGGATAAGAACCCCCAAACCCACACTAGCATGGGGATGTAATCGCCACCAGACTGCTTTAAATGTCACAATTAAATACCCTAATTATTTTGTTGTTTTAGGTTTAATCTGGAAAATCTCGGAAAATCGGAAATTGCAAGTAGTTTACCAGAAAGTAAAGCCGTGGGTAAAATGGCTGAAGGTTTTGTCGAAGCTTGGAAACTGTATGGCAACAACAAGTAAGTTTGTACTTATATTTGCATGACATCATACACACAATATCATGTACAAGCTGGTATTAACGATGCACTTCTATTGTACAAAAGACGAACAGTACCTGTAGATATCTAATATCAAACATGACTTTGCAGGTAAATTCAGTACCCACTAGACTAACCGCCCTGTTTGGCCAGTTTTAAGAAGGCACCCTCAGAGACTAGACTAAGGGTGCGCGAATAACGCATACATGGCCACATGGTATATCGTCTACCCAATTATCTATTTTAGAGGAATGAACAGGATTTATTTGTAATGCGTTAATTCTAATAATTCATATTCTTAAATTTTCCAGTACTTTAAATATGGGTCCAGCTTTATGACACTCATAGGGAATTGGTCTGTGCTTCAGTTATGATTTGTCGATGCTGCCCTAATTCTACCACTCAAAATACCACAAAAAATCCCTTATATACTGTGTAATGTATGTCTAATGTTAATTTTCCATTTGTTGTGATCCATCATCTATGCGCTTTCCCGTTGTCTTTGGCGCCTCTACATCATGTAAATCGTTTGATTTACAGGTATTTTGTACAGGGAACGAGCGTTTATTTGATCGTCACAGCTAATAACACTGCCTAACTGTTTATATGATAAGTTTTCTGTAGTGGTGTATTCTAGGCGATACGAAATATATGTTATATTATATATGCTTTATTTATTTTGTTGATTTATCTTCAGAGCCGCCATCTTGTTTCTCATTGAAGAACTGTCGTGGAATATCATGGACCAAAGATGGTTGGAATATGAAATTCGAAATCTCGATAAATCTATTCCGATTATAAGAAGATTGTTCAAAGACGTCGTTGAAAGAGCTAAAATAGAAGACAATAAACTTATCTTGTGAGCACTGGTTTAAGTAAATTTGAGTTGCCAAAGTGGCGTGCACATTCCAATGTGATCAGCAAATCACCGCCTGATCCAATGCGTAATATAATACTTTTGTGACACTACTATAACGTCGACTATACCTGCGATTATTACATCAACTGTCACACCATATATATATTTCGGTTTACGCATGTCCATTTGGTCACTTTAAGTCCGCATTCATTGGACGCTTTTTGGAATCGTCTTTATCTTAGGGCGTTGACGCTTGTTGCGTACAAGTACTGAGGCGCTTTTGCAGTGGTTGTCAGTTTTCGTACGTTTCGTTTTTATATATGTTCGTAAATTCCCTGCATTTCTATGACAACCAATATTGTAATGGGATTACCTAATCATATGATTGTCAGATGTATTATTAAATCCACTTTGTTTGTTTGTTTTCAATTCAACAGAGATAACTACGAAATAGCAATAGTGTATTATAGGTATGGGTATTCACCTGAACACTACCCAACAGAAAAGGTATGGCACATGTACCTTAATTTCATGTTTAGATTGTTTCCGGGATTGTCGCAGATGATAGCGTCAATCAAAACAGAATCACATATACTGAGTCTAATACTAACGTATTGTTATATATTTACCAAAATTAATGAAAACTGACAATTGTTCGAATTGTGCTGTGATTTGTTCTTATCATAGGAGTGGGAAGCACGTCTCATGGTTGAGAAATCCCAGACTATCAAATGTCCACCCATAAGTTATCACTTAGCGGGTTCCAAGAAGATTCAACAGGAATTACCTAGAGCTGGCGCCGTTGAGAGATTTCAAAAATATTTCCCAGATGGAGAGGTCACCGTTAAGCGAATTAGAAACACATTTGCTGGACTTTATACACTCGACATGGTAAGATAAACATATTCCTTATCCCCAGCTATTGCTAGTTTTTTGTACACTTGATATTGTAAAAGAAAATGACATTTTCATCATATCACCCATTTCCACACTGTCAACCACCAACAATATATGCTTGATATTTATACGTATTGAGAAACAAAACTATTGGTGTATATAATTAAAACTTGATATATTAGTATCTTACATATGCATAATATTCTAGCAATCTATCCCTACTATTGGAAATAAGTGAAGTAAATTATATGTTTCACGGAGATAAGAGTTACGTAACAATCACAAATATTTGAAATATTTCACGAAGCTCCAAACTTTATATTTCGAAGCATATTCATATGGGCCAAGGCCATATGCAGATTTGTCGATCCAAAGAGACAAATCTGTATTTCGACCGAGGCTGGGGCCAATATTTGTATTATTATACCGAATAAAATTTGTTTTGTAAAAGACGGCATTTAAAGATCTCTCCTGCCCAAGTTTCGAATGACTACATCCAGAATGTTCTCAATTTACAAGTTGCGGTTGAAGCACACTTTCCAATGGTTCGTATGGATTTATATTCCATAAACCCTTCCAAAATTACTGTCACATTTAAGATTTTAGTAATTATCAACTGGCTACGGACGACTATCTGGCACCAATAAACATTAACGGTGAATCATCATTTTTTCAAAATCTATATTAACGCCTACGCAAGCAAAGAAGCATAATACGACGTCTTTGACCGCCAAATGCGCAAAGCTGATTGAGCTATGAGATATAATGATATAAAATGCCTCGTCAATAAAAAGATGCAATAATTATGTTTTAGGAATTGTAAAAAAACAAATACAAGCAATATATATTCACATTTTGACCTTCATCAGCTGTCAATCATACAGGTCATTGGTACAGATTTTATCGTACTATATGACCTATGTATATGTGTAAACCCGTATACGATTAGTGATTTTCGATTAATGACGAGTCAGTGCTTCTAATCTTTTATATGATTAAAATAGTAATTATTACCTCACACTTTGTGAGATCGCTGTAAATAGGAATCGAAATTACAGCCACCTTATATGAACATGATGAAACATGAAATTTGAAGTCACACCTCAGCAAATGCGTCTCGCCACGCCATGCCCCACTGTTTATTATTTCTATATTATTTCAGAATGATGAAGGGTCAGAAACTGCTCTCAAGAACCCAAACATATATGTATTGAAACCACAACGAGAAGGTGGAGGTAAACATATTCAATGCACTTAAATATTACTTTATGTTAATTTATAATAACTAAGGCAACTATGGTGACGACGTCATGTGACTTTATCCCACCAATTACATGATGATGCTCTCCAATTTTTTTCAGAAAATGATTATGACTGATATATGGCGATTGTGACATGTGGAGCAGAATGTGCTCACTCATTTTGAAACGCATGCCATCACTTCATGTATACCATGGATTCGTGTATGTTTAACTCCGCTTTCATCGAAGACCATACCTATCGTCGTTCGTCCGTCGTACATTGTCCGTCAACTTCAAACGACTACTTTTCCAAAACCGTCAGCCTATTCATACCACACCTCTCTGAGATGGTGCTCTGTCAGATTTGTTCATTTCATGACATCACATGTAAACCTCTATTTTTTAGAATTATTTTTGCATTTATGGTTAGAAAATGATTTTTTTCTAAAACCGCTTGTCAGATTGCTTTGAAATCAGGCATGAATGTTGTTGACATGGATTACACTCAGACTTATTGTTTTCGTGGCACCATACGCAAGTGTCTATTTTTAGGGCATTTTGAAACATTTTTTGCTCATTTTTCAACTTCTTCTCCGAAACCACCTGCCGCATTGCTTTGAAATTCATAATGTAGACACATGGACTAGTTCTCACTCAAGTTTGTTCATTTGGTAAAGATATCTCCATTTTTGTGGAAGTTTTTTTTTGTTATATTTATTTCTTAAATCTCCCATATGTTATATATGGGCTATGTATAATGCATGGACTCCAGCAGACAACTTTATCAGTTGGAAGCTAGAATTTCTCAGTACATATTGTCTTTGAAAATGAAATAGATGGGCCAATGTTTTCCAGAAATGCTCGAGCTCATACGTTTATACGTTTTGCTTCTTTTATATACTGAGATATATGTGATATGTGATACTGAGCAGTGAGGGTGGGTGGGGCTAAAACACTTCCCCAGAATATTCAAGGCTGAGTCAGGGTCATCTCAAGGGCCCAGGTCAGGAGGTCACCCCTTAGTCGAAATTTTCCAAGGAAAGGTCAAGGTCGTCTCAGAGGGGATGTTCTACACGGATGAATTTCCATTCACTTTTTTGAAATTCTCTAATTCCCAATAACAATGTCATTCTTAATTCAGTCACATCGTCTGTAATTCAGTAACCAAATAATGCAAAAATATATTCTGGTAATAGTGACAACTTCATCTTTCAGCTTCAATTTCCTGTACACCCACATCGTCAATTATACATGTCCATGCATTACATACACAAATACGTTTCCTCTTATGGGATATGCCCTTCCAGTGACCATTGCGACAACTATCATAGATTCCACTTTTCCCATCCATCTAGTAACTGCCACTGCCCCCTGCACATGTCAATTACAGTGGAGCCCTACCAACTGCAAGGTCGCTTGTTATCTTACTAATTTGACTATGTATTGTGAGCGACTTGTTGATGGTATGTCAGGCATCTGTTTTGTGTTATTGGATTTGTAACCTTTCGTTTAACTGTGGATTTGGACAGGTTTATGTAGTCACTAGCTAATGGGAAATGTGTTAGATATATGCTTAATACACCATTGACATGCAATTGCAAATATATCTTCTTATCTTCTATGAATAGGTAATAACTTATTTGGCGAGGACATTAAGACCAAGCTGGAACAGATCGGTGAAGACAAAAGCCGAGCTGGATACATCTTGATGGACAAAATTGAACCACTTGTAGTTACTAACTATACAGTGCAAAGTGAGAAGGACGTTGAAATCCGAAAAATGGTCAGCGAAATTGGAATATTTGGTGCAATTATCAGGTAAGAAATGTGTGATGTGAATTGAAGTATTAAACATTATTATATATCTGTCACCGTAACGCCATAAGTTTCAGCGTGCCGTAATTTCGGGGGTATTTCGATCTTACCATATAAGCAAATGCGAATTCCAAATATGGAATGATTACGCATGTAAGCGCCCTCTAATAATAAAAACAAACATGGCTGCCACCAGAGATTGACCGGACTCCATGCAAAGGAGTTCGCTGATTCTGTTCTAAACTTTTTGGATTTCAGCATTCCCATATGTATTCTTGGAAGGCAAAGATGTATAATAATTACGTTATTTACGAGGATACCCCAAAGTATGCACTCAGACAGTACGCCGTCGCATCGATCTCCGCTGCGTGTCGGTCGATACTCCCGCTGTACTGCATACTTTGGGGTATTCTCGTAATAACCTCATATTAACACATAGTCACATCGTATTACTTTGGTAGAAAAGTCTGATCAGAGTTTGAATATCATGCTATAAAAATGAATAGTTGTATTACAATATCACGAAACATTTGTTATGGCTTGTGACTAAAAAATATTCTAACTGATACTAAAAGAGTAAATTATCCAATCACTAAATAAATGGTGTTGCTACCGTCGTACGGTAAATCTAGGAATTCCTCTACAGCGCCCTCTATTGCAATTGTTTGTTTGTTATGCACTGGAGTAGAAATGCCGTCAACGTAAATATGGCAGCCATTTAAAGACCGGGCTCCATCAGTTTGCCCCGAAATCTGAGTGAATACTTAATTTAAATG